AGTCTGCCCAGCCGCCCGTGAGAATTCCACTGAAACGGGGCATTCTCCCCCAAACCCTAAGTGCGTGTTTTGTAACAGCACAACGCGGCGGCCAGTCTGCCCGGGGGTGGGTGGGGGCCTCGGGCCGACCTTGCCCGTGACTGCTCACTGCCGGCTCAGCACTCGGCCAGCCCGGAGCCTGATGTGCTGGCCGGCACGGCCCCTCCCCTGCTCACCCGGAGAAAAATGGGTTTAATTAAGACTTCCGCGATTAGTCACTTCATCAGTCACCAGGCCAACACAGATGGGGCCAATTACTGTTTTTACTTGAATAGATATTTGGTGCTGGCAACCCCTCCGGGCAGGGTCACGCAGGTGACCGCTGAGCACCTGACGCAGGCCTCTGACCTCTTGGGGAGGCTGTCCAAGCCTCCATCCCGGGCTCCTCGATGACCCTGCCCCGGGGACACGGGTCCACCTGCCTTGCCCCCTCCTCTGCCCTGGGTCCTGGGTGCTGTCCCGTGAGACCACCACTGGCTGGCCCCGCCGAGACCCGCAGATGCCCCGGGCAGGGGCCTCCAGGGTCAGCCGGATCCAGTTGGGCAGGCCCGGCTGGGGCCCTTGGAGCACAGCCCCAGGCCCTGGGGATGCAGCCTCGCCCCGGGCCGTGGGCACAGAGGGTCAGCCTCCGGGCTCCTCGCAGGGCCTGGCCAGCGACTGCCCCTCTCTGCTCCGGGATGGGGTCCGTGCGCAAACCCCGAAGCCATCTGCAGACCACCCCCAGGCGGGGTCCACACGGAAAGCGCCCACGTGACCCTGGGGAGGTGGGAAGTCAGGTCCCAGACTCTGAGGGAAGAAGTCAGGGCCGTGATTCATGCCATTTCCCGGGACACGGCTCAGGGCCCCTGGGACAGGGCTCAGGGCCCTCCCAGCAGGGACCCTGCTGAGCATGGCTCGCTGGGGTCTGTAGTGAAGCACTCCAAGAGGGCTGGGGGCTGGGGACGGGACCACATGGCTGCACCTAAGTGCCCCCTTCCCCAGGTGGCACGCCCCACGAATAAACAGTGAGAGCACGTGTGCTGGAGGGTAGAAGCCACTGCGGGCCCAGCGGCCTTGGCGGGTGACCCTTCACCTCCATTCCCTTCACCAAAATGCACAAAGGTGATTCTCCTCAGTCACTGACGATACCGCAGAACTGTGCCTGGAAGCTGGAGGCAGCCAGTTCTCTCCCTTCTTATGCAAATCAAACCTCCGCCAGCTCTGAAATGACAGGGTGGCGAGACCTCCTTCATCTTTGTGAGTATGGAGGCACCTTTTTCAGTCATTTCCATTGGGCGAGCCTCCTGGAAGTCTACACTGGGCTGCTCAGCGGGCAGGGTGAATAAACGAGCAAATGACTAGTGGACTGTGGCTGCTGGGGGTCACCAGGCAGAGGTGGGCAGCCCAGGGCACACAGGTGACCAGGGGCGGGAGGCTCGGCGAGGACGCAGAGGCGGCCCCTGTCCGTGAGGCCGCACGTGGGCACGGGCCACGCTGCCGCCGACCCTGAAGCTGACCCGGGTCACCCCGGGCGGGCTGGCGGCCGCCCGGACCGCTTCAGACATTCAAGTCAGCCCCGTGGCCCCGCCATCCCTCGGCCTGCGGGAGCTCTTGGACCGTGCCGACACCCACAGGCCATTCTGCGCCCCTGGACCCTGGGCGCGGGGAGGCGGCGGTGTGCGGGCAGAAGCCATCTGCACACACCCCCGCCTCGCCCCCACGGAAATTGTTAACACCTTGGGAACCTTGCATGGGGACCGTGTTTGCCGACTGGCCGGGGACTGGGGACAGGCAGGAGGCAGGCTTGGAGCAGTCTGTCACCGGCTTCTGCCAATATCTCATCTCATCTGAGTGAGTGGGAGGGAACCGTGCAACAGGGAGGGGGCTCTGGGGTCGCTGGGGGTGGGGCAGAGGAGGCAGGTGGAG